AAGGCGCTCCCTCCGGGGTTGCAGAATCCTCACCGCTGAAAGGAGGGAGAGCGGCCCGAGCAACCGGGGTGGGGACGTGTTAAGTCATCAAAAGTCTGCAGAATTGGGGAGGAGGGGACGCTTCGGGCACCTCCAAGGGTCTGTCCAGCCCCCCAAACGGCAGGATTCTGCTCCCTGCTACCCCCGCCCCGAGGGACGGGGCGACGGGGCCAGGTCGTCCCTCCGCCCGGCGCAGGGCGCGGAGGGGAAGAGAAGCGAGGACGCAGCCCGCAGGGGTCCCCCGGGTGGGCCCGGCCCCGCCCTTACTCGGTGATGCGCTTGGCCAGCTCGGTGCACGCGGCCGTGGAGTTGGCCGAGAAGACCCGGTAGCCGGTGCGGGCGGCGTTCATGGCCTGGCGTGCGGCGGGGCAGACTCGCGGGGCGCGGAAAGCCGAGGACACGGAGAGCGGCGGCAGCAGCAGCAGCTTCCTGGGCATCGTCCGGCCCGCGGCGCGGTTACGGCCGGCCCGTGAGGGGCTGCAGCCCGGGGGGGATCCGACTGAGGCCCGGGAGCCCGGCTGGGGAAGATGCCGAGAAGCCGGACAGGAGAGGAGAGGAGAGGAGAGGTCTGGGACCCTCACCCTCCTCGTACCAAAAGCCACAGCGAGCTCCGGCCGAACCCGCGTTCCCGGCGACCGACGCCGCAGCCTCCAGACGCCCAGCGGGGAGGCCACCGCCCCCTCCGGGCATCCGGGAAATCCGAGAGGCGCCAGCTAGAGCGCCCGCGGAGCCACCATCTCGGGTGAGGGCAAGGCGGTGGGCAACTCTAAAAGCCTGTTCTTCCCAGAGAAGCACCATTAATTCGCTCCGTCGCTTGATTTTTATCGTCCCACAGGAGGTCTTCCGCTGTCAAGTTTTTGGGCTGTGCAGCCTGGCTTGGTAGTGGTCCCAGCCCTTTCCAACTTTCCTGCCAGGATCCAAAATGTCTGCCTCCGAGGAGGCCGACGATCTAGCTCTGCGACTCTATGGTAACGCGGCGCTAGCCCTGCGAGGCGCATGCGTTAGGCTGATTGATTTTTAAAGTGGAGGGCGGGGCTATTTCTCCCCGGTTGCCTGCAATACTGAAGTTGCCCGGAGGGGGTGCACTGAGCTGATCGTGAGTTCCCAGAATCCAACCTTGTAAGGCAAGGTTTCCTGAGTCCAAGGCCCCCCAGACAGTCTTTGCTTTTTTTTTTCTTTTGATTTGCTTTTAATAATGTCTTCCTTCCTCCCCTTCCACGAAATTTTTCTAGATCGCCTCGATCACACTAAGCCCTTCCCGCTTACCACCACCAGGGCCACCACCACCACAGCCCAGACCTCTGGACCACTCCATGTATTTTTTTTTTAAACATATTTTTTATTGATTTTTTTCTTTTTAGAGAGGAAGGGAGAGAGAGAAACATCAATGTGAGAGCGGAATATTGATGGATTCATGTCCCCTACTGGAGATCCAGCTGGCAACTCGGCCTGTGCCCTGACCTAGAATCGAATTGTGACCTCCTGGTTCATGGGTCCATGCTCAACCACTGAAGCACACCGGCAGGGCCTTAATTATTTTTAATCTACTTGTCTGCGACTGTGGAGTTTTTTATTTTTCCTCTTAGTTCGCCAACATTTGCCATGTATTTATGTCATGTGGGTTCTGTTTCCCTGGAGAACCCTGCCTAGTCCAGGTTATAAAGAAGGTCCTTTGCGGAGTTTGAAGGGAGACTTTACTTGACCAGATCCAGTGGTGTGTGTGTGTGTGTGTTTTAAATGTTTCTCTATAGACCATGCTGGCTCTTGAGACTCTGACCTGCCGGACATTTCCTACAAGGGCAAAAACAGCTCTGCCCAGCACAAGGTGACATTTCCTGTATCCAACAATTTCCAATTTCAGTTTTCAAGTTTTAAAAAAATGATCCTCTTGTTAACTGGGCTGCAGGTTCAGCATGAATTGTGGAAATATGATCTACAGTGTTTTAAAGAAGACAAGGGGTGGCACAGGTTCAGATCTGGCGTGAGGAATTGTCCAAGAGAGGACAGAACAAGACAAAGAGGCCTGTGTCTAGGGCTGCTCAGCCCTGTTCTCAAGAGCTGAGTTATTTGGAAGGCAAGGTCAGTCTTTGCAACAAAGAAGAACGTTTCAGGCAATGAGTCAGGAGTTTCGCCTCCACTTTGCACTACTCCAGCTTGAACTTTGGAAAAATATCGGGCCTTTCCCTGTTTTCCTTTTCTGAACAGGCCTCGGCAAGCTGAGACGGAATGTCTTTATTTCTAAAAATAATACCAACTTGGATCTCTAAGCTGATTCTCTCTGTAGGACACCAGAAACCACGCTGAGGCGAGAGCAAAATACGGGGCAGATGGAGCCAAGCATGCTGGGAGTGACCCTTCCCAACGTCAGCAAGGACAGTGGTAGAGGGCAGCTGCTGCGGTTGGCCGCTGGAAAATCCGAAATGGAGTCGCACTGTACAGTCCTCTGTAGGACAGAACCTCACCTATTGCGGGCCTTTCAGTAACTCTTGGGAGAGGTATTTCAGGGTATCACAAATACTCATACATCGTTGAAGGCTTTGGTTCAAGTAGAAGCCACCTAGTGCCTTCTAATGCCTTCTAGAGCTTCTGCAGAATCACCTGCCAAACAAGAGCTATTTCCTTGCCCATATGACCAGATTTATAGCAGCACTTGCAAGATGGGATCAAAGAGAAAGACATGGAGGGAGGAAAAAGGCCAGAGGCCGGAGGGGCTGAGGAGGGAGGAAGTGAACATTAGGAGACGGGTTATAACAAGTCATGGACCAAATAATTCAGAAAGTCACAAGGTTCCTGGCTCAAGTGCGGCTAATGTGTCAGGCAGGTTCAAGCAGATCCGGCTTCTATAATAGCTACAACCCTCAAGCGATTCAAGTGTCCCAGAGTAGCTATGGTCGATCCGTAAATTGAAACACTAAGTAGTCACTTAATGCTTCAGGGACATTCCTGGAGGCTGCAGGTGCAGCGATAGGACTGTTGTCTCAGGAGCCAACCCTTATCAGCTGTCCGACCTCGGGCAAACAGTGCGTTGGCCTCAGTGTTCTCCCTGGCAGGGTGCTGGCTGGAAGGGCTTTGCGAGGGATCCGTGAGTTAGAACAGGGTCCGGCTCCTCTGAGCTATTAGGTGAGGGGAGATGGGAAATGTTCATACATATTTATGAGTCGGGGCAATCGGGAAAACAAACCACATTCCTTGTTTTAAGAACTTAATATTGAGAATTGGTTAAATGAGTATTGCAGGGCAGAAATGACAGAAAGCGGTCATTGGGGAGCAGAGAGAGTAACTGCAGGGAGCAAGGACCCCACCCCACGGCCAGGGGAGCAAGAGGAGAGGTTGGGTCATGGGATCCTAGAAGCCTGGAGGAGTCCCGTGGAGCTGGGGCTCAGATCTGAGGAGGGGGCAGTGCCCAGCTCGTGCTGGTATGTCTGAGAGGCACAGAGGCTGGTTCGGGGAGTGCAGGGACACTGGAACCTGGAACCACATGTTCCCATTGCCAGGGTGACGGTCAGGAGACCAGGAAAGGGACAGGAAGCAGCTGGTCCTTTCTGCTCCAGGGTGAAGGACCCTCTAGCGCCCCCTGATGGCAGCAGAGGGTGAAATGGGGCGGAGTCCCAGCAGCATCACCAAGCTGCTGTATGGTCCTGACTCTTATCAATCCTTTTTGTGATCAAGAATTGTCTGGCCTTTGTCCCTGGTTCCTGAAAGGCCACCTCTAAGTCCTTGACATTTCCTGAGAGGAGTGTCTGTTAGTCATGGGAGGGAGGAGGGGGAAGAGGCCAGCTTTTGGGGAGAGTGGGTATCTGTGCAGAGAGGCCCCACTTCTTCATGAGGACTGGCCTGGCTCTTCTTGAAACCAGGTTGGGGTGAGGGAGGCTTGGGGACACAGTGGAGTCATTGTGAAGTGTGTGGGACAGTAGAAAGGAATGCCTCATCTCCCACGTGGCTGTCGACATGGCCATGGGCTGGTGGATCCGCCCTGAGGCTCCTGGAGTTTGGACAGTGCCCAGAGGAGCTGGCTTGGCGGGCAGTCAGCTAGGAGGCAAAGGCCTGGGACCGCCCATCTCCTCAGGTGTCTGCCATCCCCATAGGCCCCGAGTTGGACCCAGAGTTGGATGGAATGAAAGGTTCTGGGATTTGGGACTGGGGGGCCTCCTCAGAGCAATGTGGCGTAAGGCCACCTCCAAGGGCCAGCAAGAATGCGTAACCTGAGGGAGCCCCTTGGCAGAGTCTCAGCAGCAGGCCTGTGGGGCCCTGACTTGTCCACACCAAGTTGCTAGAGCAGCGATTGTCAACCTTTCTCATCTCATGGCGCATAAACCAAGTACTAAAATTCTGCGGCACACCAAAAATATGCTTTTTGCTGACCTGACCAAACAAAAGGGGGTGCTTTGATTCATTTGCACTACACAGCTGTTGTTGTGTTGGCTGTTGTCATTTTTTTATTTGACAATCTCAGGAAGAAGAGGTGAGTCAGGTATTGCATGTTTTAAAAATGTTTGCAGCACACCGGTTGCAAATTGCTGGGATAGAGCACCCCCCGGCCCTCCACCAGGGCTGGTTTGCCCCCAGAGGACAGGGGCCATGTCTGGAGATGGTTTTGGTTGCACAACTTGGTGGGGGGCAGGGATGCTACTGGCATCTAGTGGGCAGAGGCCAGGATATTGCTAAACAATGCACAGGCCAGGCGCTCACCCCAAGGAATGATCCAGCCCGAAGTGTCAATAGTGCTGAGGGCCCTGGCCGATGTGGCTCAGCGGTGAGAGCATCAGCCCTCAGGATGAAGGGTCTCGGATTCGATTCCGGCGAAGGACACGTACCTGGGTATACGCACTTGGGTTGCAGGCTTGATCCCCGGCCCTGGTCGGGGCACGTGCGGGAAGCAACCAATCGATGTTTCTCAATCTCTCTCTGAAGAGCAATGGAAAAAATATCCTCAGTGAGGATTGAGAAAAAAAATAGTGCTGAGGGTGAGAAACATGCTCTAGAGATGAGCTGGCTCAGCAATGAGGACCGAGACATGTCGCCGCATGACCAGTTAGTCACCACAGGCGCACATCTGTTTTCCATTTCTCTCCTCCCGCCACCACAACCTCAAGGTCTGCACCGCGGCGGGAAGCATCCTGGCCGGCGAGGAGGGGTGGGGGTGATCGGAGACAAGTCTGACTGTTTATTTATTTATTTACTTTTGTTAATGCTCACCCCAGGATATTTTCCCCATTGACTTTTAGAGAGAGGGGAAGGGAGAGAGAGAGAGAAACATCGCCCCGAGAGAGACACATCGATCGGTTGCCTCCCTCACGCACCCCAGTCAGGGCCGGGATTGAACCTGCAGCCCAGCTGCGTGCCCTTGACCGGGAGTGAAAGCCTCGGCCCCTCGGCGCTCAGGCCACCACTCTAACCACGGAGTTACACGGGCCAGGGCAAGTGTGACTTTTTAAACAAGCCGGTCTTAGAGGGCCGTGTTAGCAACCAACAGTGACCGGCAGCGCGGCTCCGGGCCTGGGCGGGCGAGCCTGGCGGGGTCCCGGGAGCCCGGCTTCGGGGGGCAGGCCTGCTGAAGGCGGGAGCGCACAGGAGGCCGCTGCCAGTCGGCTCGATGCGCTGCGCGGGAGGAAAGCGGCCCCGCAGCCCAGCCGCGCGGCAGGAGAAACGCTGCACAGGGCAGCTGGTCCCCGTCC